TAAAGAACTTCCAAGCCTCACCTTCACGCTGAGGCCGGCGACCCTCTTCACCTGGCCCGCCCCTCGGGGCCCAGGCCACCCTCGGGACCGCTGGGACCCGGCCATCCTGGCGGTTAAGTCCCGCAGTTGCTTACCCTCGTCTTCATATCCGACCTCGTCACGCCCCTTCGCTCTAGCCGGGACTCTGGGCCAATAGCCGCGCCCCAATGCGCAGCGCCATCAAGCCCCGCCCCCTCCGGCGTCCAGGAGGCCCCGCCTTCTCTCCTAGCCACGCCCTATTTCTCCGGGTAACTCACCTTTAACAGCCCTTGGTCCCGCCTCCACGTGGTTACGTCGCCCCCAGGCTATCAGTCAAAGAAACGCAAACTCTGAGTTACTGACCAGAGAGCTCGCTACGTAGGCGTGTTCACTTTGTGAAAATTCATCAAGCTATCCATTTATGATTTGTGCACTATTATGCAGTATAAGGTTTTAAAATAGCTTTATGTATTTATTAACTCCCAAAGACTGTGCTCTCTAACTGGAGACCTCAAACACTAAGAAAAATACTGTTAGTTGTTTCTCAATATATATATTCTCTTTCTTCCATTTATTGGCATAACTTCCCCCCCGCTCTCATTTCGCTTGGTGTGATCATGAGTTCTGGCCAATGGAGATGAGAGTGGAGGTGATGTGGAAACACCAGCCCCCAGGTTTTAGCTTTAGAAAGATTGGACCCACTCTCCCCTACCTCATTTCCCCTTTCTCCCAGCGAGAGGATAACAAAAATTAGAGCAGCACCTTCACTCTACCCTCCCAGCTCTGGAACACGTAGCTTTGAGGGATAAAACAAACAAACAAAAACATACACACACAAAAACTTTGAGAGATGAAAGCAAGTTAATTCTTTTTCAAAGTGAGTAGACATCCTTAGCAGGAAATAAGACCTCAAAACTTTCTCGAGAACCTCTATGACACTTCTAGGCCAGATTTGACAAAATCAGTGTTGTCTTCCAACACAACCATTGTTTCAGACATCTGAAGGTACCTATCATTAAGCTAAGAGAGCAGGGACAAGCAGAACACAGAGGCCAGTAAACATAAATGAATGTAAGTTTAAAAACTGTATCTATGTATGGCCCAGCTGGTGTTGCTTAGTGGTTGAGCATCAACCTATGAACCAAAAGGTCACCATTTGATTCCTAGTCAGGCCATATGCCTGGGTTGCCGGCTCAATCTCCAGGGTGGGTCGTGCAAGAGGCAGCTGATCAATTATTCTCTCTCATCATTGATGCTTCTATCTCTCTCCCCCTCTCCCTTCCTCTCCACAAATCAAAAATATGTTTAAAATAAATAAAAATAAAACTGTAAAAAAGGAGAACTATATGTATGCTAATATGGGAAAATCACCGAACTATTTATATATTTTAATACACTTTATTGATTCCACACTGGGGATCGAGCACACAACCCAGGCATGTGCCCTTGACTGGAATTGAACCCAGGACCCCTCAGTGGCTAGCACTCAATCCACTGAGCCAAATCAACTAGAACCAAGATATATTCTTAAAGAAATAAATGAAAGCAGTATAGTGTATAATAAATTCTCTTTAAGAGCAAAGGGGGACACAAATACATGTTTTTGCTTGTATTTTCATGCAGGTAGACAAGAAACTAATAAAAGGATTTACCTATAAAGAGGGGATGAGGTGGATGAGTCAGATGTGAGAGACTTTTTCACTCCATGCTTTTTGATACTTGATTTTTAACCATGTAAACGTATAACCTTTTCAGAAAAAAAAAATAAGCACTATGTGTGAGTGAGGTAGACTGGATTATTATTCCCAGTTTTTCCCTCCCTTATAATAGAATTATATATCCATATCATCAATCATGTGACTTTGTAGGGCCTCTCATTGTAGACATTGATATTAGTCTTGACCACCTGACTTGCTTTTAGCCAGTGGACTATTAACCTAATGTAGTTCAAGCAGAGTCCTTAAATGTGTCTTGTGGTTCAGACTGCCCTCTTGCACTCCTGCTATTAGTCATGAGAAGAGCATGTCTGAAGTCTAAAGAGGATGAGAGACACATGGACACTTGAACCCAAACTGCATCCTGGAGCCAAGTCCAGCTGACATGCAACCTAAAGCCGAGTCATCCCCTGGACCCATGAACAAGAAAAGTTTATTCTGAAATTCTGAGATTTCTATGCAGCATTATTGCTGCAGAAAAATGACTGATACACTAGATCAAAGCTGTCCAATTGGTACTTTCTGCCTTGATGGAAATATTCTACAACTTGCATTGTCTAATGCAGTAGCCACTAACCGCATGTGGCTATTGAGCACTTGAAATGTGAGTAATGCAAGTGAGGGACTAAATTTTTTACTTCATTTAATTTACATTTACATTTAAGTAACCATATGCATCTAGTGGCTACTCTGTTGCCCAATGTAGCACTAGACAGAATCTATGGCTGTGATTATTTGCCTGTGGAAATGACTAGAAGAAAATAGATCATAAGCTTGGAGTTACAAGGCCCTATAACGCCAAGTGTCCTCCACGCAGCCCTCAGCATAAGGTCTTTGCTCCAGCTGAGACAGCCACTAAAATGACAAAAGCCTAAAACAGAGAAATAGGTAAAGGTCTGGGAGGTCAGCAGCCCCTTCAAGAATTCCACAAGGACTGAGGCAGCTTTGAGATCTTGAGGCTCCTTCCCCTTAAACTTGACCTCCAGCCCTTAGATGTATCTGGTCTTGGGAAAACAGAGCTCAGTCAAGATCAACAGACACCTTCTCTGTCTTCTTTACTGCAGCACCCTGGAGCCTAGAGTAGTTCTTAGCCCAATTGTGTGTGGCCTATAGTGTGCTCAATAAATATTTAATAAATAAATCCTGTGTGCCTGCCAGAACTTGTACTAAGTACTAGGTAATACTAATAGTTCCTTTAATTGTGCTCTCCCTTCCCCAGTTTATCATTCCCTCTGCAGAAACCTCAGCCTCTTCACTCTGTTTCCATCCCAGCCCTGGAGGAATGAACTCCTCCCAGGCCCACGCTCCACCTCACCCCATTTGGCTGGGCTCTCAGCACTGCCCGGCCATCCTGCTGGGTGTCCCTGGCCAGAGGGCCCTCCTCGCCTGGCCCTTCTGGACCCCACAACTGGCAGAGGAATTCATTGTAGCCAGACCCTTGAAAATACTCAATCCAAACCCGTAGGGAGTAGAGTTCATCTCCCAAACCTTACCTGACACCCAGGACTGGGATTAGAATGAGGCAAGAGAGGCATCTGCTTAGAGAGCAAAATTCAAGGGGGTGCAAAAAATTCAATAAGTGAGACAACATTGTGTGTAGTGTGTCTTTAAAAACATTAAAAACCAAAGCGAGCTATGATTTTCAAAATAACACGACGAACAAAATAATGAAATTTGAAATCAATGCAAGATTGGTGTTGCTAATATTTCCTTTGGCCTCCATTCGGCTTAGTATAGCGCTGCTGGGGGCACTGCTCTATCTGAAGGTCACCGTTGCTGATCCTAAGTGTTTGGGAAGGAAACGACACTGATGAATCTTGCCTGGCCTGTGCTCGAGCTCACTGCCCACCAAGAACATCGGAGTTCTTTTCAACTTCTACCCACGCACTTTGGTGTTGCCCGAAAGCAAGTCTGGGGATGGGTCTCCTACGGAGGGACGAGGGTGCGGGCCTTCCCTTGGGACGCTGGGAGGCTGGCTGTCCTGCCCCTGCCCTCGGGACCGCGCGGGGGATACGCGGGCTCCTGCTAGCTGAGCCCAAAGCCGGGAGCCAGGATAAGGTGGAGTGGAGGTAGGCGAGTCTGCGGACGTGGCAGGCAGCCGCTGTGCAGAGTCAGCCGGTGTCTCATTTGTCCTTTTAAA